AAGATTCTGAGCAAGTTATGTTGAGAAATTGTCCTATGTTTCAAGTGGTAACTAACTCTTCTTATTCTCTGCTAGTTCTTTGGGGGTGCTCTGTATTCTCTGTTACTTCCACCATGTAATGTGACTTCCCTCAATCCCTGGAGTTTGGACATGTTGTAGGCTAAAACTGGAGAGTTTTCCAAAGAGTGTATAATGCTGAATAATGATCTTCATGTCTGGCCAGCTGTACAATTAGACAATGAAGTTTTGGGGTCAATCACCAATGTAACATAGGATTTTTGGCTGCATTTCCTCAGTATTAACCCAATTGATTTAGAAGAAGATGGAGAAGGGAAGAACTGAATCCAGGAAGTAGAAGGTACTTATGACTGGGAGTCAGAAGACGTGTATTCTAGGTTCAGCTAAGCCTCCAATTAGAGAGCTTTCTTGAAGGACACTCTCTGTGTAGGCTTCATATACAACATTGGGGAATGGTACTCTATCTCCCAGGCGGGACTGATATCCTGCCAGTACACAAAGGTAAGGCTGTAACAGTTGTTAACATTTTCATGCTGGTTGTTAAAGGAGTAATGCCTGGCATGGGGGGTTCCAGACTTGCATTTGTATTATTCCACCAACACAGTCAGTGGCCACTGGATTGGTCTAGGTCTGCACCATGCCCGTAATTAAATATTTTAATATAACCTCTGCTCCAAGTCTTAATATTTTCTGAGTGTGTGTTTCTCATTTCCTTCCTCCTCTGCCACAGAGGTAAGTAAAGAAGACTACTTCCACCTAGAACCTCTGTTGAACACAATAGGCAAATCAAAATATACCAGTGCACTCAAAGCTGCCAGTGTCCTGTTGTCCATCAGAGTTGTCGGGATCCAGGACCAAACCCTACAGCAACGGCTGCTCCAACGAATCCAAGACAATGGGGAATGGAAAGGTCAGTACCTGTATTCTCAGGAAGATTTAGAAAAAGATCTACCTTTCTAAAAGATTATCTCCAGCTAATCCTAAAATGTATGTGTCCAAAGTATCCCTGCTACATCTATTCTAGCTGTAAAAAACTTGAAGTGGAAGAAAAGTGCCTCAAAATACCAATCCCCTGCCACTCCCTCCAGAGATAGGTCTTGCTTCTTTGGGTCCTAAAAACCATTTTCCTTCAGGAAGCCACAAAGAAAAGCTATGGACTCTTATCCATTAATACTGTCATATAAGCTAGCTGAGTTCACAACCGCAGGGATGTGGACCACAACTAAGAAAGCTGACCATAGAGAGGAAACCAGGGAGCAGTAAAAACTTGGACTGGGTTTGAGTCCACAATCAGCCTGGAACCAGTCACGTCAGTACTGAGCCTAAGTTCTCTAATTAATATACGGGGGGAAATGAAGCCACCTTTACCTACCTCACAACATTGTTATAAAAATTATGAGAAGACTCAGAGTTTTGATATTTTGTAAGGCAAATCATAAACATTAATTATTACCACCCTGACAATCTGGTATCACACAGAGAAGAAAAATCCCAATGTCTTGTCATTTATCTATTTACCTTCTTTTTTCATTTTTATAAGAATTTTGTAATTCCAAAAAGATTCCATGATTTCATGGAAAAGACTAAGATCTAGCTGGCATTTATGCAGTCCTGCTATAAAAGGCTCTGTTTTAGGGATAAAGAAGAGAAGAATAAAATATTAGTCTAGTCGTGTTCCACATAATAATGGACTGCATATATGATGGCAGTCCCATGAGGTTATAATACTATATTTTTACTGTACCCTTTCTATGTTTGGATATATTTAGATACAAATATTTACCTTTGTGTTATGATGGCCTACAATATTCAGTTTAGTAACATGCTGTACCAGTTCATATGACTGTGTAGAGTGGAATAGAATAAAGACATAATAGGCAACGTAAATCACAAGGAAGACAGAAGGTAAAAAAAAATCATAAGCGTGTACCTTGTTAAGCTTGAATATTTTTCTTTTCAGTAGCAAATTTAACCTCCGGACAGCTTGCCTTGATTACAATGGCTTTGGGAGCATGTCATAGCCATGATGAAAACTTTATACATGATCATCACCTGATCAGCCAGCTAGAAAATAAATTCCAAGCAGAAATTGAAAATATGGGTAAGAATCAAATGTTTAGAGACCCTAGAAAACCTTATCTTCTCCTCCACTGATTCGTAACTGTGTGAAGTTTCCCTCCACTCTTTCCTTCTCCTCTTCATCCATTTATCCCACTATGTCTTGCAGGTCACTCTCCTTGTTCCGTATCGCAGCATACATCTTGAATTTTCTTTTTAAATATGTTCAACTGATCATTGAGCCCATGTCAAGTGCTACTTTACAGATGATGGCAGGCAGACACACACACACACACACACACACACACACACACACACACTCCATGTTCTCTAGTCCTCCAGGAGCTTGGCTTTCAGACAAATAATGAATTACACCAGAAATAGCTACACAATACAGGACACTGTGTCATAAGTACCAAAGCATCTAATACCAGCATAAGAGATAAAGATGGCCAAAGTACTTTATCACTAGGAAAAACAGATTGACCATGGTGGCCACTAGTAAGGTACATTGGTTTATTTCAATGCCCACCCAATATTTATCCTTTTATTCATTAAGTCCCTCTGATCCCATCTTCCTTTGAGATGGCCTCCAACTCATGCTTCTATTTATGATTCCAACACCTTCCTGTTGAAAGTGCAAGAGGCCTGGAGGTGGGAAACCTGGTCCGAGCTCTGTAATCACCTGAATATCTGGATAGCATCTTTATCTCTTTAGGGCTGGGTCCCCTCAGTTATAAAATGAAAGGAGTTGAGTGGAGTTTGGTGACCCTTAAAAGCCTTTAAATTCCTCAGGTTTGTTGATTCTGTGGGTGATCTCCCCCTTCTATTACTCACCTCTCCTTAGATGTAGAGAAATGGAAATAATGTAAGCAGGAATAAATCAAAAATGTATTACTCCAGTACCACTTCCCTGAGTAAGGTTTGTCTTTTCCCTCTCCCAGAAGCACATCATGACAGTCCACTGACTAGCTACTACCAGCTCAGCCTTGACGTGTTGGCCTTGTGTCTGTTCAATGGAAGCTACTCAGCCACCAAAGTTGCTGAAATCTTCTCTCCTGAAAATAAAAACTTTTATTTACATGGCCAGTTCTCAGTAGGTGAGTCACTAAATCCAATTCCCTTGGTACAGAGGACATGATCATAAGCAAGTCTTACCCTTTGGGTTTTTCTACCAGTAAGTAATTGGATCATTTTTCCTCTTCTCTTCACCCCAAGTCCCCTCAGAAGAAAACTTTCTTTTGGAGAAGAATGGATAATGGGTGACCTTTAAGCCTCTTTCTAGATGTGTGGTATAATAGAAAGACCTAGTTCCTACCCCAGCTCTTCTTTGAGTTATATAGCCAATGGATGTTAACTCTTGATCCTAATTTGTAAAATGAGGATAGAGGATGAGAATATTCATATAAAAAATTTTAGGAAGTATAGGCTGTAGAGAAAAGAAATGTAGTGGAATTCATTTATCTTAACACTGCCTCTTTCTTTAATTTATTGGGACAATTTGAACATGTGGATTGACTTGAAAAATACAACTTCTCTGGTGACAAAGTCTGATATTTTAATCAATAAAGTATGGATTCATCTTGGAGAAGAACCAGAAATTTTTCACTGTGTCAGCTTAAACATCCAAAAAGAAGTCTCTAGACAGTTCAGCCCCTATTACTCCAAATGCACAAGCTCAACTTTCTCCAAGAAGTTACAAGCAAACCG